CGGTGGCCGGGAGCAGCCACTGCACTCCAGTCTGGGCAACAGAGTGAGACTCCAACTCAAAAAAAAATTAAAAAAAAAAGAAAGACTGCTGCTTCCATGTCTTGGCTATTGTGACTAATACTGCAGTGAACATGGGAGTGCAGATTATCTCTTTGAGATCCTGATTTCAATTCCTTTAGTTATATACCCAGAAGTGGGATTGCTAGATCATATGATACTGCTATTTTTAATTTTTTGAGGAACCTCCCTTGCGTTTTCTATAGTGACTTCACCAATTTAAATTTCTGTCAGCAATGTAAAAGAGTTCCGTTTTCTCCCCATTTTGCTAACACTTATCTTTTGTCTTTTTGATATTACCATCCTGACAGATGTGAGGTGATAGGCCATTGTGGTTTTGATTTGAATTTCCCTAATAATTAGTAATATTGAACACCTTTTCACATACGTGTTGGGTATTTCTGTGTCTTCTTTTGTCTGTACCTATTTTATTTATTTATTATTTTAGTCAGAGTCTCACTCTGTTGCCCAGACTGGTGTACAGTGACACACTCACGGCCACCCCATCATTGACCTGCTGGGCTCCAGCGATCCTTCTGCCTCAGCCTTCCAAGTAGCCAGAACTACAGGTGCACGCTACCATGCCTGGCTAATTTTTGATTTATTGTGGAGACAAGGTCTCGCCAATTTGCCCAGGCTGGTCTCAAACCCAAGGGCTCAGACAATCTACTCGCCTCTGCCTCCCAAAGTGCTTGGATTACAGGCTGAGCCACCGAGCCTGGCAGTCTGTGCCCATTTTAAAATTGGTTTGCTTTTTTGCTATTGAGTTGTAGGAGTTTTGTGTATATTTTGGATTTTAACCCTTTACAGATATATGATTTGCAAATATCTTCTTCCATTCTATTTTTGGTTCTCCAGTTATTCTTAGAATATTCTCCTAAGAAATTTTGCAACTGAAACATGTACAATAAATAAATTTTATCTTATTGGACAGAAAAGGTTCATGTGTGAAAGTATTCCACATTAGGATCAGTTTATTTGATGTCTCAGTTTTATTTATAAGGTATATTTTTCCTTCAGATAAAACATTCTGGAATGAATGTTTTGAAGTTTTCAAGATGTAATCGATGCATCTTTCTTTTTGTCCTATACATTTTCTGGCACCTGAGTCTGGTGAATGGCTGGCTAACTTTGCTTAAAGTCTAGATCCAATTAGGCTTTACTGAAAAACTATGTTATTTGACAGTTAAGCTTACATACATATAATGGCATACAAAACTAGCTTTCCTTTTAAACTATGTCTTTTTTTTTTTTTTAATTGGAGTCTCACTCCGTTGCCCAGGCTGGAGTGCAGTGGCATGCTCATGGCTACCCCAGCACTGACCTGCTGGACTCAGGCGATCCTTCCACCTCAGCATTCCAAGTAGCTGGAACTACAGGCACGCACTACTATGACCGGCTTTTTTTTTTTTAATTGTAGGAATGAGATCTTACCAAGTTGCCTAGGCTGTTCTCGAACCCATGGGCTCAGGCAATCCCTTCACCTCAGTCTCCCAAAGTGCTGGGATTACAACTTGAACCATCGTGCCCAGCCTAAGCTGTATCTTGACACAGATATTAAATGTATGATTTTTGGCCAAAAAAACAAATTATTAGATATTTACATCTAAGAAAATTGCAAGGAAAAGGGTATTAGGTATATAAATATTCCTGATCTTAAGATTTCAATTTGATTTTGAATTTATTTCTTTATTAAGATAGTAGGTGTTTATTGTTTGTATTCTTTAGATATATAAAGAACGAAGCCAAAATTTTGGTGAATGTCTTTTCAGATATATTGCCAAGCACTGTTTTACATCATCTGGCACTAGTTGTAAGGAGTCATTTTTTGGTATCTGATTTTTAAAAGTGATATAAAAAAGCTTGTATCTTTTTTCTTCTTCAGCGCTGTTGTCCAGACATGGCAAATGACTTTTTAGGAAGTATTAAAACAGAAGTTTCATGCGATGAAAACAAAGATAATTCTGGTTCAGAGAAAGGAAAATTGATCATGTTAGTTAGTGACTTTTATTATGGAAGGCATGAAGGAGCTGTCGAGGAAGAACAGAAGACTTATACAACCTTTAAATGCTTCAGTTGCTTGAAAGTTCTTAAAAATAATATTAGGTACGTAAATACTTATTTTTATTTCTGTTTGAAAACTGAAATACTACAGATATGAATGTTGTGTCTTTATTTTTCTGCACCATCGTAGGTGTCCTACACATTTTTCACTAAGAACAGAGGCAGATTATCATGTTGAAAAGCTTTTGTCTTTTCTTGTGTTTTAGAAATTTAACTCCTGGATCCTTCTAGTTGTGTTGTTTTAAGATAACTTAAGAAAATAAAAAGTGTATTTTAACTTAGGGGAATATTGCTTCTTTTCCTTATAGTCATCATCAAACTAGGAGTTTTGATGAGATGTTTTTATTTTCTATCTTCTTTTGAATCTTCGTATCACAGGAGGAACTACTTTATTCAGTGTGACCTCCTCCATACTAATCTTATTTGAAGCTCAATTTTTAAAATTTATAACTTTTAGCACATTTACCTTGCAGAGAAAGCAATTTTTGGGGGTGATCTTTAGAGAAATAACAGTTCTATAAAACATGTCTGCTTTGATTTTGTAACTTAACACATTATTTGGTATATCACATATCTAATATCTTAAATGAAATAGTAACAGAACCAAGTAATAAAACATATTAATTGGTATTTTTTATTGCCTGCGTAGTCTGATAGTTATATTAGGTGAGGCTGTCTTTCCCACATTTTATTATAAAATTTTTTACAATGACAGTTGTCTGTGAACCACCTCAAGTCCTGCATTAACATTTTGCTATAATTGCTTTACCACATATCTGTTCATCTGATACGAATAGCTCAGAGCCATCTGATTTTTTAGATACTTTTCAAAGTAAATTGCAGGCATTTACCAAAACCAAAGGAGGAAAGAAGATATGTTGAGCGAACCATATCCAACTCTAAAGAGAAGGAGTGTTTTGGAGGTGTGGAAAAAAAGATACATGTCAAGACCTTCACTATGATCACTATCTAAGTTAATGACATTGACTTCATTTCAAGCTTACTTTCTTCAGGGATTCATAGTGAATAAATGTAGATAGTTGGCCCAGTCTTAAAATTGTTTTGATTGAATATATTTACTTTGGAATCCAACAAAAATCTTTAGTAAGCTCTTTGAAATAGGTATGCCCATTTATATTTTACTCACTGCCTTTGAACGACATAGTTCCTTCTTATAAGAAGGCTTTTAGAGAAGTTGAAATAACAGAATGGAAAACTAAAAAATAGTGCTACAAAGGGCATAGTCTACAAGGAAAAATGAACAGTTTGTGCTAATGGTAAGCCACTATTATTAAATAAAACAAAAGATTCTTATAATTATAGCCATTAAAATTGCTATTGCATGCATTTGGAAACCAGTACACAAATCAAAATACCAAGTTGTGTTTTTTAAGCAACTCAAAACTTCAAAAGTTTTCTCTCATGACTAGCTGCTTTTGGTGGTAGGGTTTCCTTCCTTTACATATTTTATTTAAAAATGTGAATAGTATTTCCTGTATGGGAAAGAAGCTTGTTATTTTTCTTTGTCTAAAGATTTTTAAATCTGAAATAATGATGAAGAATTATAGCAAATTAGTGGTATTTCATACTACTACATTAATGGATTGTTTAAAAAACAAATGAAAAGAAAAATCTTTACTGAGCCCTCTTAATTTTAATAAATTATTTAAAGCACATATCTTTCTAGAGGGCTTTTGGGCCTTAGATATGTTATTTTGAGTCATACAATTGCATTTTTTAAAGAATTTAGGCTCAGATATTTGTGAGGTTTGTCTTTGGTTACAAATTTAAATTTTTGTGCCTATTGACAAATATTTGTAGGTTTATGAACCACATGAAACACCACTTGGAACTTGAGAAGCAAAACAGTGAGAGCTGGGAAAACCACACCACCTGCCAGCACTGCTATCGGCAGTATCCTACTCCCTTCCAACTGCAGTGCCACATCGAGAGCACACACACACCCCATGAGTTCTCTAGTAAGTGACAGTTTCATTGAAATCCTGAATATTACTTATTTTGATCAACTGAACTGTGAGGAGACTATAAAAATTCTGACAGAAATGTAAGAATAAGAAATAGACTTTGGGGGGGACACAGCATCATTAAGCATACCTGATAATAAACCGGGCAAAGTGGAAACCAAAGGGAGGCCCAAACTTTTCCTATATGATGACCACTTGTATACCTAATCCTGAATTGTACCCACATCCTTAAAATAAAAAAAAATTTTTTTTAAGAAATCGACTTTGTAATTTGAGGGCATAAATAAAATTGTTTTATAAATAAAATTTGTACTAAAGCCAGACAATGGTACGTGCCTGTAGTCCCATCTTCTCAAGAAGCTGACGCAGGAGAATCACTTGAGCCCAGGAATTTGGGCTGTAGTGCACTCTGATCAATTACATCTGTGAATAGCCACTGCACTCCAGCCTGGGCAACATAGTGAGACCCCCATCTCTAAGGAAATAAGAAAAGGAAAGAAAGAAAAAATTTGTTACTAAAATTGAAGTTCCTCTCATAAGTAATTCATTAGTAGAAACTTCTTTGATATAGCTCTAGTTTAGTGTAGGGCACTAAACTAGAACACCCAGATTTCATGATTTTCAAATTTGAAACCAATGACTTGGATTTATACTTTTTTTTTAAGATGTGGGGTACAATTCAGGGTTAAGTATACAAATGGTCATTGTACTGGTAAAGTTTGGGCCTCACTTTTGTTCCCACTTCACCTTGTTTGAGATAATGTACCCTTATTGATGGAGGTATGCCCCTGATTTATACTTTAAGACAAAAAATAACTACAATGGTAGTTAAAATTCACAGTGTCTGAGAATGGACAGCTTGGGTTCAGATCCTAGCTTTGCTTCTTAATACAGCTTCAAGATCTCAAGCAAGTTACTTAACTTTTCTGTGCTTTTGGTTCCTCATCTGAAAAATGGGGATAAAAATAGCAGTGCCAGCCGGGCTTAGTGGCTCAGCCTGTAATCCCGCTCTTTGGGAGGCTGAGGTGAGTGGATTGCCTGAGCCCGCACGTTCGAGACCCGCCTGGGCAACTTGGCGAGACTTCATCTCTACAGGCGTAGTGCACGCCTGTAGTTCTAGCTACTTGGAAGGCTGAGGCGGAAGGATTGCTGGAGCCCAGCAGGTCGAGGCTGCAATGGCCAGGAGCAGCCACTGCACTCCAGTCTGGGTGACAGAGTGAGACTCCAACTCAAAAAAAAAAAAATAGCAATGCCTTCCTCAGTAATGTTATGAGAATTAAATAAGTGAATATAAGTAATATCTTTAAACAACGTTACAGAGTTAACAACCATAAAATTGTTAGAACCACCATCACTGTGACTGCTGCTACTATTACTATTATTAAGTGTTGTTGTTGTTGTTATGGATGTACGAAATGAATCTTTTTATGTACATCCTTAAAATGGTATAATGTATTTTTTCCACTTTTAGCTATTTGCAAAATCTGTGAATTATCATTTGAAACAGAGCATATTCTTTTACAACATATGAAGGACACTCATAAACCCGGTGAAATGCCATATATTTGCCAGGTACACACACATTTTATTGTGTATTTAAGTGTTTGTTTAATTTTCATGTGCCATGAAATAGTATTGTTCTTTTGGTTTTTTCATCATTTGAATACAGTTAGTTACTGTACTAAAATTGAAGACCCTCTTTATTAGTGGAACTCCCTTAGTTTAACTCATGTGTTCTGTGTAAGGGGGGGGTGTACTAAATTTTGCCTGCCAGCTGTAGTTTTCTGACCCCTGAACTAGATGAAGAAATGTCCTGCTGGAGAAAGACAAATATTTGAGCTTGTCATATAAGGAATAATATAGACAGGTCAAGGAAACAGGAAATGCTCTTCATTAGAGAGAACCCAATGAAATACTCTGGGACGAGTATTTTTCCTGAATTTGAAGTGGCTTCCAGAAATAAGAAAGCAAGATAAAGACAAATTGCCACTGGCATAGCCTGGATGCTATTAAAAATCTAAAGAAGAGACTACTCTGTTTTATATATAGCAAGAAAAACATATAACGAGGTGTCAGAGCTTGAAAATTCATGTCAGGGTAGGGGGTGGTAGATCGGAAAAGAGAATTCTAGCTATGTTTTGAAATATATTTCTAAACTTTGAAAGATAACATTTCTGTTTCAAAGATTGTCTTTATTACTTGCAGCAGTAGGATTCCTTGTTTTGTAGGCAGCAGAGCTGAGCTAGTAGTACGTAATGTTCTTCTAAACAAATGACCTGTCATCCCTACTTTGATGTAATTGCTTATCAGTTACAAAATTTAAACTAAGACTTCTTTATATTTCTAGGTTTGCCAGTTTAGATCATCAACATTTTCTGATGTAGAAGCTCATTTTAGAGCATCCCATGAGAACACTAAGAACTTGCTATGTCCATTTTGCCTCAAAGTGAATAGAATGGCAACCCCCTACATGAATCATTACATGAAGCATCAGGTGAGATGAAACAGCTATTTGTTCATGTTTTAGTGAGAAGATAAAGATCTCTATCTATAGATTTATATCTGTGTCTATTTATGTATAAAAATAGATATATAAAACCTTGAAGATTGGTTAGATTTGTTCTGGACAGAAAACAAAGTTGTTCTGAATGACACAATTTATGCTGAATTACTTGTGAGACCTCCACTTCTTTTCCTTGCCTGCTTTTTGGTGACATTGAGACTCATAAATTGTAAAAGTTCTGAAAGATATTTAGAAATAGGAACCCCAGAGTGGAGGAATAAAGGGAAGATTAGTGGAATATTTAGGTTGGATATTTCAAGGTATAAGGGTGGTGGGAATGGGAATGATTTTGAAGGTGCTTATCAAGAGCAGGGAAAAGAATACATTTGAACTGAGGAAGATAATATTGAGGATTCATAACCTTATGTTTTTCCTCTTCAAATCTTGTTTCCACTTTATAGCCCACTTTTTATTATAAGACATATGACTTTCATCAGTGAATCAGAATGAACCTTTGTACTAGCTAGTAACAAAGGAAACAGCAAGGACACTTATTACGAGATATATGAACTATGACAGAGAACTATATTTAGGTTGTAACTCATTTCCTACATGACTTTTACCAATTCTGTTGTATAATTTCTGAGATATCAGTATTAGTGCTTGCACCTTTCCCTTGATTTCTGATTTGATGCTTACTGATTCTTTTCCTAAAACAAGTAGACTGTCTTTTGGGTTAAAAACTTTGATGGAACAGTGAATTGCCTTTGCCAAAATCAGCAGTCAGTGGAGTTACTGAATGTGGTCATGTAATCAAGTTTTGCCTTTTCACTGATCAGTCCATTATATTTTCTTATCATTGATTGCATTGTCATGACCAATTTATTCAGTGCTGGTGCTAACATGGCCTTTGACTCAAGTCATTAGATGATCATGAAATTAAGTTGTAGTTAATTGGAAAAGAAATATAAAAATAGAATTTTTAAATACATTCAGGATCACCTGTGTTAGGACTGGGATAGTACCAGTGTAGCTATTTTCTTTATCCTAGTAGGCCACCCTACCCTTAAGAACCTCTGGCAAAATCTTTTTATTCTAGGGTTTCCCCAACAACGTTCAGTCAGATGTTGTGTTCCTCTCTTAAGTGTTTCTCTCTAAAATTGTTCCTGGTAAAAGAAATGTGGTACAGCCTCCACCCCAGCTTCCACCTCCAGCCTCCATCTTGTAGACATTTGGGAGGAGGGGACAGGGAAGGGACAAGGCTTCTGTTTAGACTCCAGAATAATGTAAATGATTTTTCTATTAAAATTTTAAAAATAAAAAAAGTAGTAAATGATTGGATTTACAAGATCAGTAGAGGTTTTTTGTTTATTTTTATTTTTAAATTTTTTTTCTTTATTTTATTGTAAAGATGTAGGGTTCAAGTCAGAATTAGGTACATAAATAGTCTATGTACAAGTGAAGTTTGGGCCTTCAATTGGTCCTCGCTTCCCCTGGTTTAAGAACAGGTAGGCTTAGTGTTTTTACATGCTCCCCCCAACTTCCCCTGGCGGTGTCCTACTCTGCTGACCCCTCTTTTGTCTTGTGATAAATGGTCAGGACCCACTTATGAGTAAGAACGTGTGGTATTCAGTTTTGTTTCTGTGATAGATCACTGAGTATCATGGACTCTAAATCTATCCAAGTTGCTGCAAAGTCCATAATTTTGTCCTTCTTTATGGCTGTGTATACTCCATCATATGTATGTACCACATTTTCTTTATCTAGTCCACGTTCTATGGGCAGCAGGGTTGGTTCCATGTTTTCACTATTGTGAATAGTGCTGCAATAAACATGCGTGTGCAGGTATCTTTTTGATAGAACAATTTATGTTCCCCCAAATGTATTCCCATGTATTCCCAGTAAAGGGATTGCTGGGTCGTATAGAAAGATCAATTTCTAGTTCTTTTAAAAATACCCATACTGTTTTCCATAGAGGTTGAACTAGTTTGTACTCCTACCAACAATATAGAAGTGTTCCCTTTTGTTTATTTTTAAAAACAGTACTTTTCAGAACTTTTAATATGCTAACAGATATTGTAAATCTCCAAGCCAGGGGCATATATAATGTTCTCCAAATGTATTTAACCTTTAAACTTTTTATTTGCACAATATCTATTAAAATTTCTTAAGGAATAGCATTTGGAAAACACTGTTCTTGGTGCTCTGTATTTCTTTCTTTGGCCCTTGATTTTAAAAAGAATCATGAACTATAAAGCATTGGTTCTGACTGTTTAATTATGAGGCTTTGAACTTAATTCTTTTCCTTTTGCTGAACTAAGCTCCAGCATGATATTGATGTAAATATGGAGGGAGTGATACATGCCTAGAAAAGTAAGAAAGACATGGATGGGCCCACTACGTGAGCCATATCTCATAAGTGGTTTATCTGAGCTATAGTCACTCTTCATACTCTAAGTTGTATATCTTAACTTGCCATATGGATTGGAAAGAGTTACTCCAGCAGATCCAAATTGCTCAAATATTGCACAATTTTAGAAAGGCCTGCTTGTATAATTGGCCCTTGCCTAACTCCTAGAAATTGAGCTCTTAAAATGTTTCCTATCTTATTAACTGATAAGAACGTTGCACATGTTTGGAACCTTGAGCCATGTTGTACCAGCTTGTCTAGATAACTTGTGCAAAAATACGGTTATGGTGGCCATCTGCTTTTCTTCTGGGAGTCTAAGGATTTGGTGACTTAACCCCAAAAAGAGCTGGACTTTTTGACTCAAGGGAGTTAACCTATCAAGCAACACTTCATACATATTGCTGCAGTTAGTTGCTGAGGGATTGCTTAAGTGTATCCTACGTGACATCAGGAGAGAGCTCTTGGAAGCTGGTGCCTGGTATACTCTAGAATCTACCTAATGCACCTTTTTCCTTCATTAATCCTACTCTGTATCTTCTCACTGTAATAAGCCATAGCTGTGAGTATAACAACATCCAAGTCCTATACTTCCTTCTACTGAATCATCAAATTTGGGAGGAGTTTTGGGGACCACTGACATACCACAGGTACTATCTTAGTCTTTTTGGGCTACTATCACATACTACCATAGACTGGGTGGCTTAAACAACAGACACTTATTTCACACAGTTCTGGAGCCTGTGAAGTCCAAGATTAGGGTGCCAGCAAATTCAGTGTTTGGTGAGGGCCTGCTTCCTGGTTTATAGATGGCTGTTTCTCTTTCTGTCCTCACATGATGGAAGGGGTGAGAGAACTCTCTGAGGTCTGTTTTATAAGGACATTAATACCATTTATGAGGACTCCACCTTAAAAATCAAATTACCTCCCAAAGGTTCCACTTCCCAGTACTATCACATTAGGAATTAGGATTTCAACATATGAATTAAGTGGGGACGTAAATATTTAGTCCGTTTCAGGCACTCATTTTTTTGGGTTAAGTTTGGAGTACCTAAGAGCAGTGAAGAGGAAAGATTCTGTTCATAAGAAGAATTATCAGGCTTCCCTTAAGGTATTTGCAATTTATATACTTATTTACCAAACACTCAAAAACCAGAGAAAAACCAGAGATAAGCAGGATTATAAGTTTGTCATTGAAATGATATTGTTAGTGCAATTTTAGACAATAAGAATTGTTGACTCTGGTTAGTTTTATTCTTTTTGAAGACTGTGGTTGCAACTTTTAAAAAAATTAATACATTAACATGCCTTGAGTGATTTTAGAGTTAACAATTCAGTTTATGCAACTTTTAAGAAAGGATGAAAGATTACAGATATGTTTAATACCCTCATTAGCTCTTTAATAATAACAATAAGCAGTTAACATATACAAATCACTTGCCATTTGTCTGCCACCGGTGCTTTTATGCGTATTATCATGTTTAATATTTATAAGCACTCTATGAAGTAGGTATATGATTGTTTTTATTTTGGAGATGAGGAAACAAAACTGTAGAGAGTAGATAACTTGCCCATGTCACATTCCCTCATAAATTGCAGAGCCTAAAATTGCTTAAGCTTTTACCACAGACTCATATTCTACACAGACATTAGTTCTAAAGGCAGAAATTACAGTCAAGTATACTTGTCAAAAAGTTCAGCACAGACAACTTCTTCTGTACCCCTGAAACAAATCAATGTTTATTTGGTTGGACATTGTGTTATTAACAACACAAAGCATACCTGATCCTAAACCAGGGGAAGTGAGGACTAGTTGGAGGCCCACACTTCACCTGCACATACATTGCTTATGTACCTAATTCTGACTTGTACCCCACATCTTTATAATAAAATAATATTTTAAAAAATCCTAATTCCAAAATACCATACATTGTAAATATAAATTAAAATGTGTGTGTGTGTGTGTGTGTGTGTGTGTGTGTGTGTGTGCGCTGTATCATCATCATCCTTCATCCTAGTTCATTGCAAGCATACATGCGTATGAGAGATGTGCAAGGCTTGAGTCTAGTTAAGAGAATACTAGACTGATGTCTCCCACCTCAGGGTTCTAGACAAATAAATACTCATTGAATGAAGTGGCAGACATTTTGAACTAGCCAAATTGTGCTTGCTACTCATGTAAACTCTGCTAGTCTCTTGCTGTCTGCCTCACTATTTATTGAACACATATTTATTGAGTGCCTGATGTATGCCAAGGACTGTTTTAGGAATTGGGAATACAGAAGTAAGCAAAGCAAAATTTGTGTCCTCTGGAATTTGCATTATGGTAGAGGAGAGGGTAGTGTGTATATGTGTGCGTGTATTGATGTCTGAATGTATATATGTATGCCAGCTCATGGTAAGTGCCTTGGGAAGGAAATACAGGTAGACAGGGACTGCCAAAGCTCAGGTAAAGGAGTTGTTTCTAGCCGGGCTCGGTGGCTCAGTCTGTAATCCTGCGCCTTGGGAGACTGAGGTGAGTGGATTGCTTGAGCCCACGGGTTCGAGACCCGCCTGGGCAACTTGGTGAGACCTCATCTTTTCAATAAATAAAAAAATTAGCTGGGCGTGGTAGCGCGCGCCTGTAGTTCCAGCTACTTGGAAGGCTGAGGTGGAAGGATCGCCGGAGCCCAGCAGGTCGAGGCTGCGGTGGATGGGAGCAGCCACTACACTCCAGTCTGGGCGACAGAGTGAGGCTCCAACTCAAAAAGAAAAATAGGGTAGTCAAGGAGGGCCTCTCCAAAGGGAATAAAGGAGTAAGTCATGTGGCTGTCTGGGAGAGAATATTTCAGGAAGAGGGAACAGTAAGTAGATAGTGAGGTGAACATATGCCTAGGATGTACAAAGAACAGCAAGGAGGCCCGTGTGGCTGGAACAACAGTAAACAAGTAGGAGAAAGAGTAGTCGCAGATGAGATTGTAGCAGTAGAATACAAGCCAGATCATGTAGGGCCTTGTAAACCAGAATCAGGATTCTCGAGGTTATGGAAAGCCATGGGAGGGATTAAGCATGTGAAAGATCTGCAACCTTTGTACCCCACATCTTTAAAATAAAAATTTAAAAAATATATATCTGCAGCCTTTTAAGATCACCCTGCCAGCTATGGGAAGAATAGACCGTGGGGGAAAGAAGGGTAGAAATAGAAAGAGGACAGGAAGCTATTGCAAAGTCCTTGTCAATGGCTTAGATATGTGTATGGTAGCGGTGTTCGGAGGTGATGAGAAACGGAAAGAGTATGAATGTTTCTTTAACATATTGCTGATGGGTTTTATTAATGGGTTAAATGTGGAGTGTTATCTAGAGTTTGGCTTTGCCTATGTTGATTTCAAATGCCTATTAGAGATGTTCTACTCTGTAGGTAGTTGGGTGGATGCTATTTAAAGCCATTAAATCTGCCAGGCGCGCTGGCTCACACCTATAATCCCAGCACTTTGGGAGGCCGAGGTGAGAAGATTGCCTGAGCCCATGGGCTCGAGACCAACCTGGGCAACTTGGTAAGACCTTATCTCTACAATAAATCAAAAAATTAGCCGGGCATGGTGGTGCGTGCCTATAATTCCAGCTACTTGGAAAACTGAGGCGGAAGGATCACCTGAGCCCAGTGGGTCGAAGCTGTGGTAGCTGTGAGCAGCATGCCACTGTACTCCAGCCTGGGTGACAGTGTGAGATTCCAACTCAAAAATAAATAAATAAATAAAGACATGAAACTGGATGAGGTATAGGTAGAGGTAGAGAATAGATTTCTGGGAACTATACTCTGAGGGAATTTTCAGTCTATCCTGTTAACTTGCTGTTTGGTTTTGGCTGACTTTTTCCCCTCTTTCCCCGTCTCTCAAGCATGTATCGGTAAATCTGTTTATGTTGACAATACTTATGATATGATCCAATGCACCACAATTCCAAAATAGTGTGAAGTTGAAACTAAAATAGTAATACAAACTCATTATGTTTCTATATTGCTTTGAACTTTGTAAGTAACTTTTATTCATCAAATGCCCACTGTGTACCAGTAACCATACTAGATACTTCCATGTACATTACCTCATTGAGTTTTCCTAAATGATTGTGTTTTATATGAAAATAGTGATGCACTTGTGGAGATACATCTTTAAAGAAAACATTTTTTGTATTTGCGTGTTCTAAATTTATATGTAAATATAAAACATATTTTTAATTGAGAGCATAGAACAAAGATTGCAGTTGATGATATATAGTAGAAACAACACTAACCAGCTATGGGCAAGTGACTTAAATTTCTCTTGGGTCCTATTTCCCATCGATAAAATCATAGGACTAGGTTTGAGAAGGGACTCAATCAAGGGGTTCTCAAACAGTAGACTGGGATCCGTTATTTCTTTTTTTACTTCATTTTATTATAGAGATGTGAGGTACAAGTCAGGATTAGGTACATAAGTAGTCTAGTAGTCTATGTACAGGTGGAATTTGGGCCTTCAACTGGTCCTCACTTCCCCTGGTTTAGGATCAGGTACTCTTAGTGATGTGATGTTCCCCTCCCACCACCACCAACCCCCACCCCACCCACCCACCGCAGCCCTGCAGTGTCCTGCTACTGCCAGTCCCTCTTACAGTCTTGTGATAAAGGTTCAGGACCCATTTATGAGTGAGAACATGTGGTATTCAGTTCTTTGTTTCTGTGACGGATCACTGAGTATGATAGACTCTAAATCCGTCCAATTTGCTGCAAAGTCCATAGTTTTACCCCTCTTTGTGGGATCAGTTCTTATTTATGCTTCTGCAATCCATATAGAACTTTCTAATTAAAACCTAATTGATACGGCTTTTCATATTGGGTGTTTATATGATAACCACTTCTTTTAGGACTCAAATATAAATGCAAGAAGTGCTTTTAAAAATGAAATAATATTTTGGTATTACCTATGGTGAGAAATGGTAAAATACTGGTTTTAAAAATATTTATATATTAGAATTAAGAGCAATTTTGGGTCCCAGAGTTTGTGGTGGTAGAAGTTACCATTTCTAACATTTTCTTTAAACAGAAAAAAGGAATTCATCGTTGCACAAAATGCAGACTACAGTTTTTGACTTGCAAGGAGAAAATGGATCATAAGACACAGCATCGTACATTTATAAAACCTAAAGAACTAGAAGGATTGCCTTCTGGAACAAAAGTGAGTTTTTAAAATTTTTTATTATTATGGATAGAAGGAATAAGATCCAGTGTTAGCACAATAGGGCAATTACAGTTAACAGTAATTTATTGTATATTTCAAAATAACTAATAAAATAGAATTGAAATGTTTCTAACACAAAAGGAATGATAAATGCTTGAGGTGGTGGATGCTGTAATCATCCTGATTTGGTCATTACATATTGTATGCTTATATAAAAATATCACATGTACCCCAAAAATGAGTTTGAGTGTTATATTTTAACATTTTGTATGATAATAGAAATAAACTACTACCTGGTTTTATCTATTGAATATAATAAAGTTGATTTATGGTTTTTTTGAGACCTTAATTTTAGGTTTTATCATTCTTATGCTTGGAAAGGAAAACTTGTAACCATTGTTTTTTGAGTTTATTGACGTGCTTTGTTGGAGCGGTATTTCTAGTGCAACTAGATTGACTGTACACTGAGTCAGCGAGTTATTTCAGTGTTCTGTGGGCTGTCTTTGAGCTATTTCAGTTAGCAGTGTATATGTCTATTTCAGCTGCTAGACTTAAAGGTGTTTGAGATCAGGAATCATGTTTAATTTATCTTTGTGTTCCCAACATCCGTCATGGTGCTTTGAATGCCATAGGTTTGTTGAAGTTGGTTTTAATGAATCTGCTCTCAGAGAAGCAAATTCTGCTCCTGAATAGCATCTCTGTTTTTAGCGAGCAAGCACATGTCTGACTACAAATTTTCTTCTTCCTGTTGGCCTCATATACATATGGTTTCTCTGACTTCTTTATATAAAGTTAGCTCTTGAATATTTTCTCCAGTGAAGGAATAGATAATTCAAAATGAAATAATCCCCAAATGTTATTTATTATTTTGAGACAGGGTCTCACTCTGTCACCCTAGACTAAAGTGCAGTGACACAATCACAGCTCACCACAGCTTCAACCTCATGGGCTCAGGTGCTCCTTCTGCCTCAGTCTCTACAGGAACTAGGACTACTGGCACACACCACCATGTCCAACACGTTGTTTTTTTTTTTTAATAGAGACAAGGTCTTGCTTTGTTGCCCAGTTGATCTCGGACTCCTGGACTCAAGCAATTCTTCCACCATGGCCTCCCAAAGTACTGGTATTACAGGCATGAGCCACCATGCTCAGCCTGTATTTGGTTTTGAGTACACACCATTGAATGTATGTCTGCAGTTTGAATGAACAAAAATAAAGTAAAACAATGATCTGGACATCTAGAGTGAGAGAAACTATCCAGTGTCCTTCACTGCAATCCATTTATTCCATGTTGGGACTAGACATGGAGAATACTAATGAAGGCATTACATTCCTCTCTCATATCTTCCCTTATTAATAAGATGGCAATAGTAATGATAATAATGATACTATATGTCTTTTTTTTTTGAGTTGGAGTCTCATTCTGTTGCCCAGACTGGAGTGCAGTGGCACACTCATGACCACCACAGCCTTGACCTGCCTGGGCTTAGGCAATCCTTCCACCTCAGCCTTCCAAGTAACTGGAACTACAGGCTCAAGCCACCATGCCCGGCTACATTTTTTATTTATTGTAGAGACAAGGTTGCGCCAAGTTACTTAAGCTTGTCTCGAACCCCTGGGCTTAGGCAATCCTCTTGCCTCAGTGATTAGAGGCTTGAGATACCACACCCAGCCTGATACTATTTGTCTTATAGCACATTAGAATTAAGCTTTCCGGGTTTGAGACCAGCGTGGGCAACTTGGCGAGACCTCATCTAAAAAAAAAAAAAGAGAATTACGCTTTCAATGTGCTTTTTATACATTTTATTTTCTAATTCATCTGGCAATCCAATGAAGTAGTCAAGGCAGGTATTATCCCCATATTACAGACGAAGAGGCTTAGGATAAATTCTTTACTCAAGGTCACATGGCTAGGAAAAGGTAGTGATGAGATTTTTTGTTTTGTTTTTTTGAGTTGGAGTCTCACTCTGTCGCCCAGACTGGAGTGCAGTGGCCGCTCCTGGCCACTGCAGCCTCGACCTGCTAGGCTCCGGCGATCCTTCCGCCTCAGCCTTCCAAGTAACTGGAACTACAGGCACACGCTACCATGCCTGGCTAATTTTTGATTTATTGTAGAGATGAGGTCTCGCCAAGTTGCCCAGGTGGGTCTCGAACCGGTGGGCTCAGGCAATCCACTCACCTCAGCCTCCCAAAGCGCGGGATTACAGGCTGCGCCACTCAGCTAGTGATGAGATTTAACCTCATTATTTGACACCTACTCCAGTGCTTCTGTATGATACCAAACCACATGTATTTCATAGGACTTCACAGAGGCTGCTCCTCCAGTACATGGTGAAGAAACATAGTCAAAGAATTAAAGAGAATGTTAGTAGCATTTTCCATTATTAGCCAGTGGATATAATCAAACATATTCTTTTTTCAAATACTAAATGATAAATTTTGTATTAGCTACCATTAAGAAAATTCTAAGCATTATTTTAATCTCCATGCTTATGATGAATTACTATAATCTCCACCACAACCTTGGAAGCAGAAATCATGCCCAACGAGCTCCCAGAAAGAGAAGGTCACATTTACTGGAAATATGTTTTATAGTTACCAAAGGATAATGCAGACTTTTCCAGAATTATTATGTCAGGCTCTGAGATTTAAATTTTGACCTCTATATTTCTGGAGGCCTTTCAGTTATATTATAGCATAAAAATAGCTGTGGAATATACTCTTTTGATAGTCAAGTAATTTGTTCTAACCCCTAATTATCCATTAACATCTGTTTAACATACAATTGCTATCAATAGGAAGCTATAATATAACAGTAAATATCAAGATAAATCTCATTTAATAGGTCTGACTATTTAGAATAAGTGATATACTTACCTGACTAGAGTTTGCTGTTTGCAAAATAATGATGTTTAACTTTTTGTATTGCAGTGTTTTTTGTAACAGCTTTATTGAGGTATAATTCATATATCATACATTTCACTCATTTAAAATGTACAATTCAATGGTTTTTAGCATATTCACAGAGTTGTGCAAGCATCACCATCACCACAGTCAATTTTAGAACATTTTTATCACCCCCAAAGAAACCTTGTACCATTAGCATTTACTCTTTATTACCCCTTCACCAGCTGTGTGTAAACTTTAATCTCCTTTTAGCCCCTATAGATTTTCCTTTTCTGGACATTTCATATTAATGAAATCATACAATATGTGATCCTTAAGTACTGATTACTTTGGCTTGGCATAATGTTTTGTAGGTGCATCTGTATAGTACCATGTTTTAGTACTATATTCCTTTCTATGGCAGAATAATACTCCATTACATGGATATTTCACATTTTATTTATCCATTCATCAGTACTCGTTTTTGTGTGGACATATGTTTTCATTTCTCTTGGGTGTATACCTAGGAGTGAAATTGCTGAGTTATATGGTAACTTTTACTTTAGATTAGAAAACATAGTTTATTTTAAAAGTAAATTAGAGAGAGAGAGAGAGAAAGAAAAAATTCACCTCCCCAAGGTGGGTAGGGGGCCAAGCCAGGAAGCAAGGCAACAGCCATAGCTCAGAGAGCACATGGCCACCCCAGAGTCTAGCAAGGCAATGGCCCGTATATGGTAACTCTTGTCTTTAATACTTTGAGAAACAACCAAACTTTTTCAATATGACTGTACCATTGTACATTCATAGCAACATGTGTTTATTGACCATTTATATATCTTCTTTAAAGGAATGCTTATTCATGTATTTTACCTTTGGTTCCTTATGCTTTAGGTGTCATATTTAAGAAACCATTGCCTAACTCATGGTCACAAGGATTTACTACTATATTTTCTTCTAAGAGTCTTACAGTTTTACCTCTTAATATTTGGTTTTGAAGGCCAGGCATGGTGGCTCATGCCTGTAACCCCAGCACTTTGGGAGCCCAAGGTGGGAGAATCGCTTGAGCCCAGGAGTCTGAGACCAGCCTGGGCAACATAGTGAGACCTTGTCTGTCCAAAAAAATAAAAAATTAGCCAAGCCTGGTGGCACATGCCTGTAGTCTCAGCTACTTGGGAGGCTGAGGCAAAAGGATCGCATGAGGCCAGGAGATTGAGACTGCAGTGAGCCATTATCATGCCAATGCACTCTGGGTGACAGAGTGAGACCTTGACTCAAAAAATGGTGTTTGACACACTGTGAGGTTTTTTTTTTGTGAGGGCTGACAGTGATATTTTTAATATTAACGTGATTACTGATTTTCTAAAAATATATTACCTTTGTTTTTATAGGTTACTATTCGAGCTTCGCTTGGACCTCTCCAATCAAAAGCATCAACTATACCTCTCAGTTGTGGCCCAAGTACTTCTTCTTTTCAAGTCTCACCTCCAAAGTCTAAAAATACAACTGCTAAAGGTCCTACAAAATCTACTGCCAGTAAATCTAAGACAAGCAAGCCTCATGCAACTGCATCCACTGCAAATAAACCCAATACAAGTAAGCAAAGTGGAGGGCCACCTAAATGCAAAGCAAAATCCTCTTACAAGCAAAAGAGACAGCGCAACCGAAAAAACAAAATCAGCATAGCTTTGAAGAACTTAAGGTAACATCTTTATTCCTCATATACAATACTAATTTAATCTGAAATATTATGTTTATTTGAATATAATTTTCCATATCACAGAATCCTATTGCACATTTACATGATAATCACTTATCTGACATAAATACTAATAAGCAAATGATGAAAAAGATACTCTTTTACAACTACCATGCAGAACTTGAATTACTGTGTTCTATAATTTGCATCTTTTACACTATTCTTATATCTTGTGCTTTTATCTAATAATAGTTGAACTGGTTAATTTGATCCTTTTTTTTCCAGGGAAACTTTTACTGGTATTACATTTTTTATACTTATTCTTTTATTGGTATTACACTTTTTACAAAGCCAGTTTTTAAATTATGTTTGAAATATATTTCAAAGATACTACTTTAAACATCTTGAGTTTAATTAATAAAGACTAATAAGTCTTTGCCTTATTATTTTGTTTTACAATATATTTTTGTTTTTTTTCCTGTCTGCATAAGGTGTCGTCGGGGAATTCACAAGTGCATTGAATGTCGTTCTAAAATAAAAGATTTTGCAAGCCACTTTTCTATATATATTCACTGTAATTTTTGCAAGTACAATACTAACTGTAACAAAGCCTTTATAAATCATATGATGAGGTAAGTTAAACAGATAATCTGCCAATCAAAATTGCCATTCAGGAAGTTTTTTGTTTTTGTTTTTTAATAAAGTTGTCCTATTAGAAACAAGTTTGTCTCCTCAAGGAACTAAAAGGTTCTAGCAATAGGGAACATCTAGGATGTTCTGTACTATTTTTCAGCATAGTAGTTCATAAACTTAATGGAACAAAAACTATAAGAACAATTAGATGAATGAAATTGGAATGAGTTTGTTAGGGAAATTTGTTTTTCTATGGGAACTTTTTTCCCCCTTTATTTCTTTCAAAAAGTGGTTATTTTCCAACATAAAATTTTAAATGTTTTCCACATATTTATCCAATGAATGCAGTCAGCTCTCTGGATCTGTGGGCTCTACATCTGTGGATTCAACCAACTGTGGATCAAAAATGTTAAAAAATGCATCTGCACTGAACATGTACAGACTTTTTTCTTGTCATTATTCTCTAAACAATACAGTTTAACAACTGTTTACATAGAACTTACATTGTATTAGGTATTATAAGTAATCTAGAGATGACTTGAAGGGTATAGGAGGATTTGCATAGGTTATATGTAATGCTGTGCCATTTTATCTCAGAGACTTGAGCATCTGCAGATTTGGGTGTCCACAGGTGATGCTAGAAACCAATCCCCTATGAATACCAAGGGACCCCTGTATATGTAACCTCATGAGTGTTATCCTCTTCAAAACAATCACTTTGATATACTACGAACTTTATTTTCTCTCCTTTTTTCTGTCTTCCCCTGCCCATTTATCTGTGCATGTCTTTTCAGCTATCCATCTTTGCATTCATTCAAAGAAACATAAAATGAGAGACTATAGGGATATTTCAGTCATGATGCTTCTGTTAGAATTCCTTTTCACACATCAATTCAACTTGAACTTGAATTTGAACACTTATAATATACTTCATATACTAGGGAAAGATTTCAGAGCCCACCTTACTTTTACTTTGAATAATCAAAAAGTGTTCAGATATAAGTATGATAAATTGATTACTCAAATTGAAATTGTTCTATTTATTTTCAGTTAGAAATAAAGTATAGCCAATAAGAGTGGTTTTCTTTCAGATTATTACAAAACCTGTATATTACTTTCTGGGTATAGTTAACTACCACTTTGAAGGATTTGCCCACATTTTTTGGTGGCTTCAGCACCTGGCTCATAGGTTTGATTCTCCCCCGCCTCGATGGTCAACCTGACCTCATGGTACCTTGACTTCTTTAGTGCCAGTTCTTCACATCTACCTGTACTTCATTGTATCCCCTTTCTTAATACCGTCCCATTTTACCTCACCATAGAAAATATTTATTTTCTTTTTGTAGAGACGGGTCTCACTATGTTGCCCAGGCTGGTCTCGAACTCCTGGCCTTAAGTGATCCTCCCTGCCTTGGCCATCCAAAGTGATGGGATTACAAGCATGAGCCACCATGCCCGGCCAGAAAATATTTTCTATTCTCATTACCCCCATGACTTTAAGGATCTTAACCCCTTTTTTCCCACCAAGTAGCACCAATCCAATTTTGTCATTCAACCTTAACCTTCAGGTAATTTGTTTTGAGTCCTGCTTTGTTTTTGTCCTAGAATCTTACATCTTCACAGTCATGCTTGGCCTTGCTGTCTTTGAATTTTTTATCCTTTTTGATCTATCTCTATGCTCAGTTTTGGACTGCCACACTGCTTGAATCTAGCTTTGCACCGTGGCAGTTTATTCAAGGCACAGTTAGTACTAATTGAAAACTGCTTGACTAGGCTCAGTGGCTCAACCTGTAATCCCAGCACTTTGGGAGGCTGAGTCGAATGGATTGCCTGAGCCCGCGGGTTCAAGACCAGCCTGAGCAACTTGGCAAGACCTCGTTTCTACAGTAAATCAAAAATTAGCCGGGCGTGGTAGTGCATGCCTATAATTCCGGGTACTTGGAAGGCTGAGGTAGACAGATGGCTGGAGCCCAGCAAGTCAATGCTGGGGTGGCCCTGAGTGTGCCATTGCACTCCAGCCTGGGCGATGGAGTGAGACTCCAACTCAAAAAAAAAAAAAAAAGAATGCTGCTTGAATCTGTGCTTGATTCCATCAGTTCTGGATTCATGATCTTAAACTTTAATTTGGTCCTGTTTTTTTTTCAAATACTTCTTATGTTCATCTACAACATCTGTCAAAATGTTAATGTAGTCTCTCAGTTGTTAACCTTGCCTACTTATTACTCAGAGGTTGTCCTTTTTCTCAAGATTAACTTTCTCCTACCTCATTTTTTTTCTTTCATCCAGACACCAATCTCAGGAAACAAACGTATCCCACTTTTTTAAAAGTTAATGCTGCCCCTCATCTACATTTCCTCCACAACCTGATTCTGCTATTTGGGACCTTCAGTCCATCTCTTTTCTCGACTACATTCATTCTGCATGCAGATACTTTCAGGAAGTTTTTTTTAGGATGAAGGAGATCCATCCTTCACATATTTTACTGTCTTCCTTTTACCATCGACATTTGAAATGAGTATTCTTTACTAGCTTGTCATTTTTCACCGTTATGATTTGAGTGTCACCCCCACCTACAGCTGAAGTTGCTCCTCTAAAGGTTATCAGTCATATCCTAATCACTAAATATACTCACTGTTTTTCATTCTTACTCCTCTGTGACTTCTTCAGAGTATTTGACACTTGATTACTCACTTTTGGAACTCTTCTCAACTTTTGTTAAACTGTTAACACCATTTTTCTTCCTTTTTTGCTACTCCCTCTATATATAATTAGCTTTTCTTCCTTCAAACTCTTCTTGTCCCTTAGTATTCACTTTCTTGGTACCTTAACCACTCTCAGAGTTTTACCTTGTACCTTTCAAGTGTAAATCCTCCAGTTTCAATGCTAAGTTTTCCTGAGATTCAGTTCATTATTTCTAAGTATTTAATATTTTCATCTTTGACTCACTGGCATCTATAAAGAACAAAAATCCTCTGTTGAGGATTCAAACCACTTTCACCCCAATATCCTTTAAGCTTAGTCTGATTCAGGGCATGATTTGCATAAACATGGAACACCAGCTGGAAATAATTCACTGTCCCAAGTTTCTGAAGTTCTCTTGATCATACATCATGGCTTCCTGGAAGTCCTCTTCTGCAGTTTCCCACGCTGCCTCCACTGCTACAGTGGTTCTGTACCCATACCTCAGTTGCTCTAAACCACGTTCCAGCCAGCCTTTCCCTCGGTACACTTCTGGGAGCAACGTTGTTCTCTTATTCTGTGCCAAACACACGACTGCCCTAACAGATCTCCTATTCTGCCACTAATTTATAGAGTATTAAATTGAAAAATATATTTGGCATTTCTTATATACCCATGTGTCATTCTGTCCTCCCCTCCCATTTTCATAGACATCTCAACTGTCTTGTGGGACTCCAACCCCGTTCTAGCCCCAAACATTCCAGTTGGCCCCAGGCTTCCTTCAATGCCTTTTCCTCTAATTTCCAGTGAGCCCCAACCCTGCACTGTCATCGTGCACACTGAACTCTTATTCATCGTTAACCTCATAGAGCTGGAAGCTTCCACCTCAACTCTTCTAGGGGCCTTGTAGGTCCCTTGCTTTTCCCCTGCTTCAGTGGTGCCTTGCTTTCCTCGTTGCCTCTGGTACCTCCTCTTGAATGGTGTGCCCTCACTCCTACTCAGCATGGACGTAGGCTTAGCTCTATAGGCACAGAAGCGTCGTTTTCTCAGATGCTGAGTACTTTTATTCCCAGCCTACACCAACTCTGTTGCCAGAAGATAGCCCCCCCATCAATTAATCTTCTCCAATATATAGTTTCTTCATATTCACTATCTAAAGTGACTTTTTCGTAGTCTTGATTATTCCCTGGAATGTCCCTCTTCTTCCTTTTCATTTCATATGTGAAGTATCTGATCAGCACAGCCACACATAGGGATCATTCCTTTTCTTGAGTTCTGTAATTCTGCCTTATATGTGTCTTCATCACCTCTTTTTCAAAAAACAGAGAGAGATGGGATCTTGCTATGTTGCCCAGGCATCTGATCTCCAACTCCTGGCTTTGAAATTCTCCTGCCTCAGCCTCCAAAAGTACTGGGATTACAGCCCTGAGCCACTGCTCCCAGCCTCTGTTATCTCTTTGAGAGAGATACTCATTGCATTCATCATGGCATCTATCCTGAGGATATTTTCTTGGAATTACAGCTTGCTGGAATCTTTCTTTCCCCATATTCTGGTGATGGTTACCTTGTGTCTGAGGGTAACAGTTGACCTGTGTTGGCTAGTTTGGGTCTGTCTGTTCAAAATAGGGCTAGCGCTTCTCAAACTTTATCTTGCATAAGAACCAGCTGGGAAACTTGTTAAAACTGATTTCTGGGTCCCATTGTCAGAGATTAATTTATTAGGTTTTCAGTAAGCCCTGTGACTTTGTATTTCTAATAAGCTCCCAGATGTTGCTGGTCCACAGACCACAAATTTAGTAATACTGTGCTAGGCTAATCCTGGCTGATCTTGTCTGACTTTCTAACACAGGAAAGCATTCCTTATCAGTTTAAAAGGTGTAAGAGCTATTATCATTGGCAGCAAAGTTTGGTTAGTGGTTTTCTGTTCTGTGCATAGGAGAAGCATTGTTTTAACTCATGAGCTCTGCCTCCGTTAATTTGCTTTTTTTGTGTATGTGTGTCAGGGTCTGACTCTGTCACCCAGACTGGAGTTCAGTAGTGGCATGATCACAGCTCCCCACAACCTTGTCTCAGGCGATCCTTCCATCTCAGCCTCCTGAGTATCTGGAACTACAGGCGCATGCCACCATGCCCAGCTAATTTTTGGAAGATTTTTTTTTTTTTTTTTTTTTTAGAGAATTGAAGTCTCGTTATGTTGCCTAGGCTGGCCTCAAACTCCTGGGCTCAGGTAATCCTCCCACTTCGGCCAACCAAAGTGCTGGGATTACAGGTGTGAGCCAATGAGCCTGGCTAATTTGCTTTCTTTAAAAGTTCTTCTAGTAATTGCAAAGGACTCTGAATGCTTCATTTTTCTGACATTTAGCAATGGCATTTAGCTTACTTAGTGTTTACTTCCAGGATCATTTAGATTGTCCTCCCTCCTCAAACATATTAAGATTAGAATGTAATAAATAATTATTCATGACAATTTCTATCATAGCAACATACAAATATCCCTTAAATTGTTTTTACTCTTAATAGTTGAAAAATACTTTGGTACTTTTTGTATTTTTCAAATAATGGTAAGGCACTGATCCAGTGAGCCCCTAGAAATCTAAGAATATTCTCAGAGAAATATGTTATTAGAAAATATACAGGTAAGGGTGGGCGCAGTGACTCACGCCTGGAATCCCAGCACTTTGGAAGGTGGAGGCGAGAGGATTGCCTGAACCCAGGGGTTGGAGACCAGCCTGGGCAACTTGGAGAGACCTCATCTTTACAATAAATCAAAAAATTAGCTGGGCATGGTGGTGCACACCCATAGTTCCAACTACTTGGAAGGCTGAGGTGGAAGGATTGCCTGAGCCTAGCAGGTCAAGGCTGCAGTGGCTGTGATCATGCCACTGCACTCCAGCCTGGGTGACAGAGTGAGACTCCAACTCAAAAAAAAAAAAAAAAGAGAAGATACAGGTAAAATGGAATGTAAGACAAAAATCTTGAATTTAACAGAGATGACTATCTTAGTCCATTTGGATGGCTATAACAAATTACTATAGATTGGGTAGCTTATAAACAACAGAAATTTATTTCTCACAGTTCTGAAGGCTGGAAAGTCCACGATCAAGGTGCCAGCAGATTCGGTATCTGGGTGAGGGCCCACTCCTCATAGACAGCACCTTCTTGCTGTGACCTCACATGGTGGAAGGGGTGCACTAGCTCCCTAGGGTCTCTTCTATAAGGGCACTAATCCTAATATCATCACCTTGGGGGTTGAGATTTTAACATGAATTTGGGGGTACACAGACATTCAAATCACAGCAATGACCAACAGAATTGTATTCTATAGATCATGGTCTTTTATTTAAAACTAAGAAATGAAGCATAGCCTTGAAATGTGGCCATAAAATGAATATCATTTATTGTATAATAAAATTAATAAAATCCTGTTTGTCTGTTATCCCTCCAGCTCTCATAGTAATGATCCAAGTAAACGGTTTTATATTTTTAAGAAGCATTCAGGAGCGCTCAGGTAAGAGTTGATCTTTTTTCCATTCTGTCTGTTGAAAAATTATAGTAATTTTTAAAACCTCATGTTGGAGTTCCTACTTTGGAAACCTAAATGATTGCTTACTGGACAGAGTTCTCTTTATTTATCCTGAGACCAAAGTGAATGGGGGATAGCCTGTCATCTCTGGCTAAAAACACCCTTTCAATAGTTCCGGGCATTAAGGTGAAACTTTCCTGCATTTGCATTGTAAAATAACGGAAATAAGACTCTCTAACAATATTTGAATAGAAGTAAGTTTAGTAAAACACTGGCATACTTGAAATAATTATAAAGCCTTCATCATTCTGTGTTTTTTTTAAATAAAGAAAAGTACACAACTTGTTTATAGAAAAAATTGTTGTAATTTTAAAAGGCATTGATAATTTGGTCATGCCACACTCAGCTCAAAATTCACTAAACATTTTTTCTTTTTAAATTTTATTTTTTTCCTTTATTTTATTGTAAGGATGTAGAGTTCAAGTCAGGATTAAGCACATAAGTGGTCTACGTGCAGGTGAAGTTTGGGCCTCCCACTCATCCTCACTTGCCCTAGTGTAGGATCAGGTACCCTTAGCGATGTTATGTTTCCCACCCAGCCCACCCTGGCACTTCCAATCCCTCTCTTGTAGTATTGTGATAAACGTTCAGGACCTACTTATGAGTGAGAACATGTGGTACTCAGTTCTTTGTTTCTGTGATAGATTACTGAGTATGATAGACTCTAAATCCATCCAAGTTGCTGAGAAGTCCATAACTTTGTCCTTCTTTTGGCTGTGTAATACTCCATTGCATATATGTACCACACTTTCTTTATCCAGTCCACTTTCAATGGGTAGCAGGGTTGGTTCCATGTTTTTGCTATTGTGAATAGTGCTGCAATAAACTTACATGTGCAGTTGTCTTTTTGGTAGAACAATTTGTGTTCCCCCAAGTGTATTCCCAGGAGAGGGATTGCTGGGTCATATGAAAGGTCAATTTCTAGCCAGGATTGGTGGCTCAGCCTGTAATCCTGCGCCTTTGGGAGGCTGAGGTGAGTGGATTGCCCAAGCCCGCGGGTTTGAGACCCTCCTGGGCAGGCAAGACCTCATCTCTACAATAAAATCAGAAAATTAGCCGGACGTGGTAGCGCACGCCTGTAATTCCGGCTACTTGGAAGGCTGAGGTGGAAGGATCGCTGGAGCCCAGTAGGTCGAGGCTGCAGTGGCCGCTCCCGGCCACCGCACTCCAGTCTGGGCGACAGAGTGAGACTCCAACTCAAAAAAAAAAAAGAAAGGTCAATTTCTTTAAACATTCTTTTTACTCTGTTTTCCTTTGTTTGATTATTTTGCTCATTTTGACATACATTTGCCAGGCATTGAATAGTACCTGGACCATAGTAGGTACTCTGTAAATATTTGTTGAGCAAAATAATATATATGTTGAAAACCATATATGTGGATGAAGTTGGACGAACAGCTCATAAGCAGAGAAAAATTGTATTCTGTTTTAAAAATATATTAGTGCTAATTTTTTTTTTTTTTTAATCAGAGTCTCACTGTCACCCAGGTTAGACTGTAGTGACTTGCTCACAGCCACCAAAGCCTCAACCTGCTGGGCTCAGGTGATCCTTCCACCTCAGCCGTCTAGGTAGCTGGAACCACAAGCATGTGCCACCACATTTTGCTAATTTTTTAATTTAATGTAGAGACAAGGTCTTGCCAAGTTTCCCAGACTGTTCTCGAACCCCTGGGCTCAGGTAGTCCTCTTGCCTCAGCCTCCCAAAGTGCTGGGATTACAGGCATGAGCCACAGTGTCTGGCAGTGCTATATTTAAAACCTTACTGAATTCAGGTGTTACCGTTACTGAAAATTTTTATAAGATTGAAAAGGAATTTATTAATTCTAATGATGTGACTTTATTTGATTTTTATCACACTGTTGTCAAGCTCAACTGTATGATTTTTAAAATCTGAGATGCTTTTTTTTCCAACTTGGATCACTTTCAGATCTAAATAGAAAATTGGTCAATCTCTGTATGAGACTAAGCATATTTATAATTCTGTGAGCAATATTTTTTGTAATTATTATTTCATCGAAATGAAATGTTCATTCTTTAGCTGTTTATTGTGCACCTATCATGTATAACACAATGTAGCAGGTCCTGTACAGATGACAGAGATGAAGAAGAAAGTTTGGTGCCAACCTTCAAGGAATATACAATTTACTGGAGGGATATAAGGTGTAAGCATAAATAACTACAGTAATACAAGGAGGTTTGTAGTAAGTGCAATAAGAGTTACTGATTTCAAAGGGGAGAGAGATTTCTACTTATTCTTATATGGCCCAGGGCATTCTAGTTGGAGAAAATAACATGAATAAAAGTACAGAAAAGAAAAAACAGAAACTATATGTGTTCTTCTGAGTCATAATGAGTAACTGGTAGTACAGTTTGGATGGGGTAAAGTTCATATGCCACAGTATTAACATCCAAGTCTTGGGGAGTCGTTTTGAGCTTAGATCCATATTGTGGAATCCTTGAAAACAAGGCTAGGGAGTTTAGGCTTTATTTTAATTTGGAGACACTGAGGAAACCACGAATGTTTTGAGTAGAATCAAGCATATTGAAGAAAGGTCGATTTGGAGGGGATACACAAGTGAGTTTGTAGCTGTATGAGGCACATAAACTGGTTAAGGCTGTTGTGGTGGTTAAGACTAATTTAATAATGGCCTGGGTTATATCATGTTTAAGAACATGGGCTCTGGAATCAAAGGGCTCTAACTTGGTCCTGGCTTTGATAGGTTTCTAAGCCAGACCCTGTCCTCTGTAAAAAAAAAAAGTCATAATTATAGTACCTACCTCTTTGGATTGTTACAAGATTTAGATCTAAAACTCTCAGACTATTACAGAGTAAGTGTTCAACAAATTGTTAATATTATAAAATGTTAGAAATATTAAATGTTTTCAGGAAGAAGAGAGTCAGAAATAATGACAGTTTTGAGCCTTGGTGATTGGGAAATGGCATCATAAGAGAGACCAGTCAGGAGGGGTGATTTTGGGGGGGAAAGCACACCATTTCAGTTTTATGAAGCTAATTTCTGATATGCAGGAGTGACAGCTAGATATAAATAAATAACAGGACGTTAAGAGTAGAGAAGTCAGTTCAGGGTATGCTACTGGTTTTTACTCCTGTAGAGGTAAAATATTTAAGTTTCAAGTATCTAATGAACTTCAAAAGTACATGTATTTATCCTGAGACCAAAGTGGGCAGGGGATATCCTATTAATTAATTGATAATAATAACAATAATTACATTATTTATTTATTTATTTATTTACTTTTGAGTTGGAGTCTCTCGCCCAGACTGGAGTGCAGTGGCCGCTCCCGGCCACCGCAGCCTCGACCTGCTGGGCTCCAGCGGTCCTTCCGCCTCAGCCTTCCAAGTAGCTGGAACTACAGGCGCGCGCTACCATACCCGGCTAATTTTTTGATTTATTGTAGAGATAAGGCCTTGCCAAGTTGCCCAGGCTGGTCTTGAACCCCTGAACTCAGGCAGTCTTCTTGCCTCTGCCTCCCAAAGTGCTGGAATTACAGATGTGAGCTACCGCGCCCAGCCATGATTTATTTTTACAACCTTCATATTTCTTCTCTAATTTTATCCTCAAATAAGACACTTGATTATAGACTCCACAACCTTTTTTTGTTCACTGTTGTATGCAGAATACCTTGTAGTATACTGTGTGTAAAGAAAGTCCTTAGCAAATATATATTTATGTATTTGAATGAATGAATATTACAACCTTGCTTTGCAGGTCGTGACTGGCACATGTTACACAAGTTGTTAAGGAAGTTAAGACTGGGCTTTCTGTCTCTTGACACCTAGCTTTTAGCAATACATTGAGAGGGAACAATTTATAAAGCACTAAATGTTAGCATAATTTAGACATGGCTGTGCCATTTTCTAGAGAACCATTTTGGTTATATCAAATTTATATAACAGAATGGGGAAATGAGGGTCATGGCACGCAAAATGCAAATCAAGAGTTATTACGTGGAAAAATGGATTATGGATTTCCATAGAATATAAGGACCTTCTCTTTCTTACTGTCCTCTTTTTTTCATAGGGGCATTACTCTAGTGTGCCTTAATTGTGATTTCCTAGCTGATTCTTCTGGCTTGGATCGTATGGCCAAACACTTAAGCCAACGTAAAACTCATTCTTGCCAAGTTATAATAGAGAATGGTACGTATATATAACTGTTTCTCTGAATTTTTGCTATTTATTTCAGTGTTTTTGCTCAGCCACAATATGAACTCTTATGTCTTAAATTGATAGTCTCACCCTTTATATATGCTGTTTTAAATGTAAAACTCTTCTTCTTCCAGTTTCCCAAAGTACCTCAACTTCTGAACCTACTTCTGAGTAAGTTTGGTTTTCATTCAGTGCATGTCACTTTAATGAATTTTAGCACTGTTGCATTTTGTAATGTGTTATTAATAGGAATGAAAAATATTAATGTATTTTGTTTTTGTTTTTTAAAGCCGCTTGTTGAAATAGATTTCTGCTCTGTGAAGCTCGTGCAGCTTGGTGCAAGACAAGTTGGAATTTCCTAACTTCAAAGTTCTGAAGTATTTTCTCATATGAAGGTGGTTTAACAGCCAAGTTCGTGACACTAGCTCTCATTCAGCTCTTTTCAGCTTTCAGATTACACTAGATTCTTATTCCACCTTATCTTTGTGTCAGGTTAACATATCTTAACATATATTTTTCTCCAATTGGCTCTGCCTCCAAAAATAACTTTGTTGCTGTGGTCTTTTCTTGTTTTGCCTAAAATAATTTGTGTTTTTCTCTGCTATACTTGCCTTCAGAATATTACATATCAAACAATATGGCTGTTCATCTTTTTTGTCAGTGTTGTCTGCTTTCTTAGTGAATTTCTTCTGTCTTACATTTTTACGACAGATAGCCATTTTTTCTTCATCCCTTGTCTGTCATTGTCCTATTTTTCAGATGCAAAAGCAACACAGACATTTCAAAATGTGTCCAGTGTACTCCTGGACAGTGTCCCCCTTTAATGGACACAACTGATGCCTATTTTCTCTTTCTAAGGAATGTGAATTATTTGACTGTAACACTCCTCTAGTTTGTGGCCTTAAGAAATCAGATCTTGGGAAGAGTCCCTTCCTGCCTGACTGGCCTCCCATAAGGCTGATGCTGATTTGGCCAGAGATGACCTCAAGGCCCAGCAGATTGAGCACAACTTCCCACTGGGGGCTTTGGCTTTTGAGCTTAAGCTTATGGGTCGATGCTAACTAAGAGAAGCCCATCAAATCAGTACTTCAACATCCAAGTTGAAGTTTAATCATTTTGACTGCTGCCCTTTAATTTTCTTCTAGCATACATGCAGTCCAAAGAATATAAAAATTCTGATTGTGAAATCAGAAAACTAGCCAGCCATGTTGGCACACACCTGTAGTCCCAGCTACTCAGGAGGCTGAGGCAGAAGGATCGCCTGAGCCCAGAAGGTTGAGATTGCAGTGAGCCATGATCGTGCCACTGCCCTCCAGTCTGGGCAACAGAGTGAGACCTCAACTCAAAACAATTAAAAAACAAAATTCTGACTGTTTAGTGAACCAAGATTACTTTTATGTTCTTGGAAAAACAATTTCTACAATTACAGTCCCAAAGTCATACTCATATTGTTACTCATATTGTTACTTTAAATTTTATACAGTATTAAAGTCTAGGAATTTTCAGCAATACAAATATTCAGATTTAAAATTTTTTTAATTTAATTTTATTTGGTAGCTTGATTTTATGTCCCTCATCAAATGTATTGATGTCCATTTTATTGTGTCTACTTTTATACTCTTTAAAGCTTTAAAGCTTTTGTTTTCTGTTTGTATCTTTTTTTTTAACAACTCCATGACATTTTAAAAGAATTCTCTACAAATTTCATGTAACTACCTATTGGGTAGTATCTTAATTTGGTACTTGTTCAGATTATTAGACATTGTTACATGCTCTATCTCATTAACTTAATAACTATCATTAACATTGACTTAGGGATTGTGAGTTCAAAGACAAAAATTTGGCAAAAACTCTTCTTACAGACCTTAAAACAAGTTTTAAAGTTACATTTCTATACATCTAACACATAATATCTTCTTAGCCATTAATGTAATTCCTTTGGATAAAGATAATATATTCAGAAACTATTGGGACCAAAAAATGTACTTGTTTCTTGCCCATATATATATAGATGTATATTTTTTTTAATTTGGTGTTTGTTTATTTTGGTTACATTGAATATAGAGTCGTTGAACAGTTTTGATGTTGTTACTTATTTTTTTAATAAAATTTGCATTGTTAAAGTGCCTCGGGAATTATTTTTTAACAAGTAACTTCATGTAAAAGCCGTAGATTGAATTATACAACCAGGAGCATGGCTTCACTCCTAGTTCCACGGAGCTGGATTGCTTGGCCTGCACACTGGGAGCTTTATCTGCTGAATGCATCTTGCACTTTTTCCTCCAGCACAGTTAAGAGTTCACGATTTATATTTTACTAATTTCTTGAACTTGAAAGACTAGCAGAAGCTCCTTTGTGATCTTAGTAACCATGAAGGTGGGCAGGCGCTGAAGGTGTTTGACTCAATCGTGAGTGGTTATTTTACTCTAAGATCAGAACTAATCGAATGTGCTTTGAAGCATTGAAAGCCACTTTTCTGTGACCATTTGTTATGTCATACTCCTTGCAGTTTTAATTATGATTCATTATTTGTAATTTTCCAGACTGATTTCTGCTGTAAACAATTTTCCAAAATCTTTAAAAGTGGCCTGTGTTACAGTGGTGTACTTGGTGAAACTCTGGTCTTTATTTCCTTACCTGTCTGTAGGATGTTTTGTCAATCACCATATTCCTACTCAACTTTTAAAACATTTTTAGTGTGGTAAAAAATATATATATATCTATATATTATTTATGTTATATATATAACAAAATTTGCCATTAAACCATTTTCAACTATATAATTCAGCAGCATTAATGACACGCAACCTTTTCTTTGTTTTAAACCTTTGCTCAGAAATAACAACTTCTTTGCATTTTTTAACATCAGTCTTCTTTTTATTTACAGATATTTTCTTTGTCTCTGTCATAGTTCAAAATTGGAAAAACTATATTCTTGTTGTAGCAGTATTTTAGGTAGAAGTCAGCATTGTGTTCTTCCATAGGATTCTATTTCTTACAGTGTGTGTCAGGTTATTTTTCTTAAAGTATAATATTCTTAAAGTTCTGTGTCCTGTAACATTTTTTTTTACTTTGTTTGAATAAAGCATTTCACACAGCCAGTACTAAGCTTGCTTATTACAGGCAGTTGACTTTTAATTGGTGTTAATGAATTCTAGCTTGACAGTCTGATCCCTCTTTAACCCCAGGCTACTCTAAACAGTTCTTTCACCTGAATCAGAAATAGCCATCTTAGTGCATGCATGCATTTTGGTTTCAATTGAATAAAAGGTATGACTGGCTCAGTTTCAGTTCATCACCATTATTAGAAAAATAGATACTAAATTACAAGTACTTACATTCCTGCTTTTCTTTTTGTCACACTTTGGCAAAATACTTCTTTGAATCTCATTTACTTGTTAAGCAAATTTTTTTTAAGTCGAAGTTTCACTGTTGCCCAGGCTGGAGTGCAGTGGCACACTCAACAACTACTACAGCCTCTACCTGCTGGACTCTGGAGATCCTTCCACCTCAGCCTTTCAAGTAGCTGGAACTACAGGTGTGCTCCACCATGCCTGGCTAATTTTTTGATTTATTATAGAGACGAGGTCTCACCAAGTTGCCCAGGCTGGTCTCAAACCCCTGGGCTCAGACCTCTCGCCTCTGCCTCCTAAAGTGTTGGGATTACAACTGTGAGCCACTTCATCCAGCTTATTCAGCAAATATTTTCTGAGCACCTACTATGTGCTTGGCACCGTTCTAGGTGTTGGAAATACAAACTGAAATCCCTTCATGGGACTTATATTTCAGTGCTAGGAAACAGACAATAGAAAACAAATAAGAAAATTATATAGTATGTTAGATGGTGATCAATACATGGAGAAATGGAATGTAGAGAATGGAGATAGCGAATATGAGTTGGGCATTGGGGGTTAGGGAATTGCCATTTTAAATTTTATGATTAAGTTAGGCCTCCTTGAGAAGATGGCATTTAGTAAAGACCTGAAGGAGATAGGAAAGTGAGCCACTTGGGTATCTATCAGAGGAGTATTCTGGAGAGGAAATAAGTACAAAAGTCCTGACATGGGAATTGGAACCCTCATGCACTGTTGGTGGGAATGTAAAATGGTTCAGCCACTATGGGAAACACTTTGACAGTTCCTAAAAGTTAAATATAAAATTACCAGTCTGGTTGCAATGGTTCATGCCTGTAATCCCGACACTTTGGGAGGCCGAGGCAGGAGGAGTGCTTAAACCCAGGAGTTTGAGACCAGCCTGGACAACATAGCAATACCTTGCTTGTCTATACAAAAAAAGTCAAAAAGATTAGCTGGGCGTGATGGTGTGAGCCTGTAGTCCCAGCTACTTGGGAGACTAAGGCAAAAGGATAGCCTGAACCCAGGAAGTCGATGAGGTGGTGAGCCATGATTGTGGTACTGTGCTACAGCCTGAGCACACTGCCTCAAAAAAAGAAGAAAAAAAGGAAAAATTATCATATGACCCCACAATTCCAATCCTAGGTATATAGCCAAAATAATTCAAAGCAGCTGGGCTCGGTGGCTCAGCCTGTAATCCCGCGCCTTGGGAGGTTGAGGTGATTGGATTGCCTGAGCCCGTGGGTTCGAGACCCGCCTGGGCAGCTTGGCGAGACCTCATCTCTACAATAAATAAATAAATAATTAGCCAGGTGTGATAGTACGCGCCTGTAGTTCCAGCTACTTGGAAGGCTGAGGCGGAAGGATCGCCGGAGCCCAGCAGGTTGAGGCTGCAGTGGCCGGGAGTGGCCACTGCACTCCAGTCTGGGTGACAGAGTGAGACTCCAACTCAAAAAAAAAAAATTCAAAGCAGATACTTCAATATCTATACATACATGTTTCATAGCAGTGCTATGCACAATAGCCAAAAGATGGAAATAGCCCAAATGGCATCCACAGATAAATGGATAAATTATGGTATATCCATACAATGGCGTCTTATTCAGCCACAATAAGGATGTGTATGAACCTCTTACACATTTGTTACATCAAAGAAGTCAGTCATAAAAGGTCACATATTGTATAATTTCATTCATATGAAATATCCAGGCCGGGCTCAGTGGCTCAGCCTGTAATCCCAGCACTTTGGGAGGCCGAGATGAGTGGGTTGCCTGAGCCTGCAGGTTCAAGACCAGCCCAGGCAATTTGGCAAGACCTCATCTCTACAATAAATCAAAAAAATTACCCAAGTGTGATAGTGCACGCCTGTAGTTCCAGCTACTTGGAAGGCTGAGGCTGATGGATCGCCAGAGCCCAGCAGGTCAACACGGGTGGCCATGAGCGGTGCCAATGCACTCCAGCCTGGGCGACAGAGTGAGACTCTGACTCAAAAAAAAACAAAAAAAAAGAAAAAGAAATATCCAGAATAGGAACATCCATGGAGACAGATTAGTTTCCAGAGTCTAGAGGGAAAAAGGAATGGGTAGCAACTGCATAATGGGTAGGAGGTTTTGTTCTGGGGTGATAAAAATGTTTGGGAACTAGAGGTGATGGTTGCACAACATTGTGAATGTACTAAATACCACTGAATTGTTTACTTGATGGTTAATTTTATGGTATTGAATTTCACATCACTTTCTTAAAACTTAGCAAATTAGGAATATGAAAGCAAACCTCCTTAACCTAACCTAATAGAAATCTACAGCTAACATAATGAGAGGAATGGGGAAAAGTCTCCAAAGTGGGCTCACACCTCGATCAAGGAACATGAACAGGACTGATGGAGTTGTCATGGAATTGCAGGGGGGCAGAGAGGAGGAGCAGGAGACGGGGCCTGAGTGGTCATACAGACCCTGTAGCATAGGGCCTTAGAGGCTGTTGTGAGAATTTGGCTTTTGTTCGGGGATAGGAAACCCTAAGTGGATCTTGAATGGTATTCTATACCTCAATAAAAAAGGTGAATGAAAAACAAGAATCATTATGTGTAGCCTTTTTTTTTTTTTTTGAGTTGGAGTCTCACTCCGTCGCCCAGACTGGAGTGTAGTGGCCGCTCCCGGCCACCGCAGCCTCGACCTCCTGGGCTCCGGCGATCCTTCCGCCTCAGCCTTCCGAGTAGCCGGAATTACAGGTGCGCGCTACCACGCCCGGCTGATTTTTTGATTTATTGTAGAGATGAGGTCTCGCCTGCCCAGGCAGGTTTCGAACCCGCGGGCTCAGGCAATCCACTCACCTCAGCCTCCCAAAGGCGCAGGATTACAGGCTGAG